CAGGCTCTGTTGGTGTGGATGAGCCCACTTTTTAAAAGCTACTTGGGGCAGGGAACTTATTTTCTTATTTGCCTATAAATTACCCAGCAGGGACTCGGTGCTATGTAAGCAAGGCATAGTAAAATAATAAAGCACTAATATTCATCATAATTAATTTCTAATAATGACTTTCTAATAAATTCTTTCCAGACTTGCTGGCCAGTGTGCAGGCTTATAGTGAGTATTTCCAAGCATGGTCATTGCACAGAGACTAATTTGAAGCCTATTCTTCTGGCACCTTTTTGCTGCAGAGGTGACATAAAATCACTTGCAAGAGTCAGCAAATCCTGGAGAGAGATGGGAGTGGGAGGGAAGTGAATTAAGTCAGAAGAGTTGTAATAAAGGGTTTAGCAAGACTCATGGTTAAAGCTGGCCGAAACCCAAGGCTTTTGGTTCACCAGAGATCTTCTCTTCTAAACGTAAATAAAAATAAAAATATCCTCCTGTCCAAATGGAATGGAAACCGATATTTTTCAAAATTTCCAACGCTCCTTTCAATCCCATGAGCTGACATATCATTTTCCCTGTTTTGCTGAGGATGTTTTAAACAGAAGAGTTAGCCTTTTTTGGGAAACACCGCACTGGATTAACTTGCAGTAACACTGGGGCAAGAAGCACCACTGATGCGAGAATGAGGAATGGTCCTTCATCACTCATGGAAGTTGAAATGGGGGTTTCATTGCCCTCATCTCACACGAGGTTGGATACCCACCTCGTTCACACAACAGGTCACCTCCAAGCGCCTCCTGGAGACCCAGCAGAGAGGAGCTATGGCCTCAGGAATGCCAACTATGGCTCAGTGTGGTGTCTCTGTCATCTCACTCTCATCCTGTGAAACACTCTTGGAAGTTACGTGAGCTGGATGGCCGGCAATGCCCCCGACAGGGAGAAAGGTTGGGAGAGGTAAGCTCAAACAAAAAGCCCACTTGTGTGTCCTGGGTGGTTTTAAATCAGGCATTAATTACCTTCCTATCTGCTAAGCTGATCTGAGCACGTCCCCAGCTGACTGCTTCCTTCTGAAGCTGCTCCTAGAAAAGCTGTTGCTGTCTGTCTACTCGCACGGCTGTTCCGAGGGCCAGGAAGGATGGGATCAGCGCTGATTAAGGGCTGCAGGGATGTCAGCCAAGCCCGGGAAGACTTTTTGCTGTGGCTGTGAAGCTGATTTGCCTGCAGACAGGCTGACTCAGAGGTGCTGTGAGGGTTAAGCCAAACCAGGCAATCGCATGCCTGCCATGGGGTGAGACCATGCACATGTTGGGCAGCTGGGCTTTGGCCAACGGGCTGCCTTTGCTCAGTCGTGTGTCTGACCCATTAATATCAGTTTTGCACCTTCTCTAGGACACTTTTTTTTTTTTTTCTCCACACATGTAACCTGGGAATGTTACATTTCTTTTGGGATTTCCCAATGGAAGTGCAATGCGTTGCACAACATTTCCCTTTCTGGTTGCACTGGTGGGTTTTTGTGCTGGTCTGGGAGGGAGGATTGGGCTTCATGGCTTGTCTTTGGTGGCACCGACAGGGTTTTTGTGAAGCCTGAGGTTTCTTGGAGCAGGGAGGACTCCACACAGTCCTAATGTCCATCCACCGGTTGAGGCATTACAGGAGTTCTCACACCTATGCACCTCTTGCAGATTATGGATCAAAGTCATAGAATTATAGAATCATAGAATATCTCAAATTGGAAGGGACTCATGAGGACCATCGAGTCCAACTCCCTGCTTCTTCAGGGCAAAAAGAAACAAGCAATAAATAATAAATGCATACTGTCCAGGAAGTAGATATTTAAAGTGCTCATGAGCACAAACAAATTGTCCATCTATTTCCAAAAAGGGCTGCATTTACCTCCGTGCAAAGGTCAGATGAAATATTAAGCAGCTGTTACATCCCTCTATTGTTTTGAAGAGGTGATTGGAGATAAACAGCTGTGGGACCCATTGCTGGAAGCGGTCTGGGTCCAGTTTCGTGGGAGGGTGTTTGGAGCCAGCCTGTGTGGGAGATCCACGCTCGCTGGCCATCACATTGCACGCTTCAGTACGCGAATTCCAGAGGTCAAGATATCTCTGGATGAGAAAACATTTGCTGCGAGGGCTTAGGAATAAATCCTAAGGAAGGAAACGGACCTAATAGCTATTGCAGAATCAGGCCTTGTCTCCCCTTTTGAACCGGATACGTTTTAGATAGATCCCATTAGCTGCAGCCGAGCTGCTCTGGGTTATCATCACCTCCACTTGCCACAGATGAGACAAAGCACAGCACCAAAACACTCACTGCAAAACCAGATATATCCCAGGGTGGAAATCCAGTAGCATCTTCTTCCAAGTAATTAATCAAAGGACCAAAGCAAATATGCACAAAGAGCAAATTAAATTATTGTGGATTGGTCATGCCTGCAGAAAATAAAACTGTCGAGAAGGTTGTTTCTTATGCTGGCAGGGATTATTTATAGCCACCCTGTCTGTAGGAGCTCAGCTGAGCAGGCAGGGAGCACAGCAGGGGATGTGGCTGCTGGGAGAAATCAGCTGTGTTTAAGTAAGGCTGGGAGTGCAGGCAAAGCCAGGCTGGGTTCTTCTGGGTGAGCTTTTTTTTCAAGCTGAAGATGTTGGTTTGTCAAAAATTGGAGCTTTCTGCAGCAACATGCCAGGTGATGTTTATATTGGCAAACCAACAGGGTCAGGACAAGGGCTGGAGCAGGGGCTGCGACCTTCCTGGTGTTTCACTGTGTTCCCTGGTGTGGTGTTGACCTGGGCTAACCGGGACCTGGGGTTGATGGGCACAGGGGATGGCATGGCTCAAGGATGGTTCCTGGATGTAGCCACTCTATATCCACCACTCAGCTTGGGCATGTGCATCAGCTGGGGGTTTCTCATGCCCAAAGTGACTCTCCTAAAATAAATCAGAGTTCTCAAATTAGCTCTTTATTTGAGGCACACTGAGCAAGACATAGACTACAGCTGCAGTCTGTGGACCACGGGAGTCTGCAGATTATACGCCACGGATTTTGTGGGTTTGTGAACATGGCTGAAAGCAGCAGCCTGCTGTCAGGAAGCCAATGTCCCCCCACCATGGGTGAACTGGAGAAGGATGGGAGCAGGTGGGTGAGAAGCAAAGAAGGGGCCACATGAGCGTGATGCACACCATAGCCCTGCCATGCACAGCCCTGGGAAAGTCCCAACACTAAGAGTGACACTTCATCTCAATGGTTGTGTCCCCACCACTTGTGTGTGGATGGGGAGAGATGTGAGAAACCACCTGTTTGTCGGGGTTTTGGGGCAGAGGCAGAAAATGGTTTCACCCTCAGCTGCACGCCAGCTCTGGTTAGCTGGTGGGTGGGTGAGTGGTGCTGCTCCCCAGCAGGCATTTTGCATATTTCCATGGGGGGCCTCTCCTTTGGAGGTCATCACTCTGTGAGCAAACCTGACAAACCTCTGTGCTGTCCCTTCTCTGTGGCCCCCTCCATGCTCGAACAGCAGCCCCCAGCTAAAAGGCACAGCCGGGGTTGTTGGACCACTGAAAATAGCCTGTTGTGCTGGTGTCTGAGCCTGTATGTCTGTAAATCACCCCAAGACAGGTCTGTCCCTTGATGGATGGAAAAGTTGTATTATTATCATCATTTTTACTATTACTATAATTCTTCTTGCCATTGTTACTATTACGACTGTTATTATGTCTGAAAGAGGCATATGCTCATCCAAGCATCTCAGGAGCCAGGAGGTCAGAGAGGGGTCCAGGCTGCAGAGTGGATTCAGTATAGCTCTGCTGGAGCCCACAGCTTTTATTTGGTTTCTTTGTCTGGGAAGAGTCTGGGAAAGGAAGTGATAAATCGTCTCTTTTCTCATCCTGAGGGATCCCCAGGCACACTTTGCTGATCCCTGGGGGAATAAATTCCTGTTGTAGCCTCTAGTAAGAGTCACATACTTGCCTGGATCTCTGGTAGTTTGAGCACTGGATGAACCTGTGTGGGGAAGACATCAAAACGCAGGGATGTGAAGTCCATCCCCAGGGCATCTCCCAAAAGACAGCAAAGATAGAAAAGCAACATCCCTGCCTTCCAGACCCAAGGTTCCCTTTCCACCCCTAAGGTCCCAATTATGGATTTTCTGCAATCCTGAAACTTGAAATTAGGCAATCCTGAGCAAACACAGGGCTCATTGACTTGTGCTCTCACCTCATTCTGGTCGCTACCTTCTAGCTTAGGATTTTCCAGGGGTGGTGGATTGCAACAGAAGTCATATCCTCTAATCGGGCGTATGTTGGACCAGTGGAGTCACAAAACATAGGGAAATGAGTAACTGGTGTTCAAACTGGATATTTATCTTGCTTTAAGCTTCTTGACATCTCATTTATTAGTGCCAGTGCTTTGATTTACAACCTGTGCCTTGCCCGGCAGATGCTGCCTCTGGCAAAAGTTTGCCAGAGCTTCTTTTGCAGCTGGTGACCAGGGTTTAATGGTTGCATCTCTTAACTCTCCACCAGACTGGAAAAAATTAGCAGCAGCCAGCCTAAGCAGTAAGGCTGTTTGACTTCAGGTGCATTTTGTCCATCAGTTTCTCAGAAAGCCTGTAGAAAGCATGTGGGGTTGAGAGAGGCTCTGGAGGCAGACAGGGGTTTTGAGTACAGCAGTATTTAAAGCCATGGGTAGTTAGTTTCTGCCAGTAAATGCAGTCCTGTCACATGTGGTGAGTCGAAGAAGTGACTGAGATTTGCATCTCTGCCTGGTGCTAGCTCGGAGGTGAGAAGCTGCGGCTGCAAGCATGGGGGAAGAGGGGAAGCAAGGGGGAGGATGTCACCACATGTCACTGATAGCCATTTCCAGTAATCAGCATAGAGCTGCACGGCTTTGGCAATCTCATGGTTGATTTACCACCAGGCAGATGTTGGGTATCTCTCCCACTGCCTGGTCACAGGGCTTGAGGTCTCTTTTTTCTTCTCTGCTGTTGACCCAACAGAGGCAACCAGCAACACTGATCTTATGATCCCTCTCTGCATGTGATCTCCTGGTGAGAAGGTTTCTTCCAGTTAATTCCTTTCAATTGTTGGTCTGGCAGAACTGCTGTCTTGGCGCTGGATGGCTGACAACAGGCATTGCTGGAATCATAGAACAGAATCATAGAATTGTCCAGGCCAGAAGGGACCTCCAAAGGTCATCTGGTCCGACCTCCCTGCAGTCAGCAGGGACACCCCCAACTAGACCAGGTTGCCCAGGGCCTCGTTGAGCCTCTCCTTGAATATCTCCAGGGAAGGGGCCTCAAGCACCTCCCTGGGCAACCTGTTCCAGTGTTTCACCACCCTCACAGTGAAGAACCCTCTCCTAATCTCCAGTCTTGCTGGACCTGGATTTGGTCCTACCAGTGCCCCAAACCTAAATTGCACGAGATGGGACTCAGGTGCTTTGAGACACCTACAACCTGGCTCCCAGCACAGCTCCTTCTGGCTCTGCTCAGCAAGTGGGTTTCAAAGGTGCCAAACACCCTGATCTCGCTGGCACCTCCAAGGACACCAGTGCCTTGGGAAGCTCAAGTCCTCAAGTCAGTAAATTACAGGTGAGGCCAATTAAATCCTGAGGGCAATGCCTAGAGGCTGGCCAACATACAACCAATATTGCACGGGGCCTTTCATGGATGTGGAGCTGTAGATAGGTCCTTGCCATGCTGAATTAACAATGCAGAAGGTTTTATGCAGAGCCCAGAGGCTGTGCACTGGGAAGGCAGTGTGGGTGGGAGGGGAGGAGATGAGGAACCAAACCATACCCATTGTTTAGGTCTGTAAGTCGAGCAAATTCCTTGCCAGCTAGTGCTTGCCTTATAGAACATGATGGGAATGGTGTTCATTAGTTATGCAAAGGTGCGTGATTATGAAAATAAGTCTCAGATAAACCAAACTGGCCTGTCATGAGGTCCACACAAAACCAAAAAGTGTTTAGAGAGATGCAAAACCCGCCCTCTGCTTGGAGCACTGAAGCTGGGAGAAATGGCATGGTTGCTAGTCTAGGACTGTGCATCAAGTCCTATCTGATCTCCCAGACAATGCACCGGCTCCTTGTCTCCTCCTTCTCTTGCCCAAGGGATGTTTTGACTTCGGCACTGAGCAAAGAGAAAGGCATATGTGACCTAAATCAGGTTTTACTTCTGCGCACATCCCTCCAGCTTGAGTAAACAGCAGGGGATGTGACTGAGAGCACATACTGGTGCCTCATCAACGCCTCTTCTCTTCGCTTCAGGTTTTCTTCTCCCTTCCCCAGAGGTGAGTTTGACTCATTCTGTGTTTAGAGAGATGCTTCCCCTTTCCCCACACCGCTCATTAAGCCTCCCTGATCAGCCTCTCCCCAGCCCACCTCTGCAGCTTTTGTTGTTGCGTGGAGTAGCTTCGCCCAACAGGACCTACTTCCCAAGCCAAACCCCACCGGAGGGCTGGGAAAAGAGGGGAAAAACCCCCCGTGAGACTAACAAAACAAACACAAAGAAGGCTCACTTGATCAGCTTGAGCGCCAGCCCCACCCTGGGGTGTGGAATAAACACTGGCAAGTATTTATTCATCGCCACTCAGCATCCAAATATTTGTTTCTCTTTGTCACACACTCACATTCTCACTGCCTGCCAGATGCTTTCCTTTTCGCAGCCATGGTGGGCACACTTCTCTCTGCCAAGGCAGGGGAGAAAAGAGACCCTGCCTGCAGGATTTGTCATAAACATGTTAGGTTTTCTGGCAATTAGATGTCTGGATGCACAAGGATATTTCTTCTCGGCTATCTGAACTTCCGTTTAAACCCTCCTCCTCACCACACATTTGTCTATCTATTTATATTTATGCACTCACAATTTTTTACATATGTGTGTGTGTATGCATAAGCATATATGTACATCTATCCACCCACGTTCACCTACGTATGAATACACAGTGCTGGAAATGATAATCTGGATGCCATGCCATTAATAATTCATAAATCTGATGTTTGCAGAAGGGTTTACGTGGCACATGATGCTATTTTGATCTTTGCACACACACATATACATCTTTTCTCCATCTGTCTAGTTATGAACATGCCAGTATATAGGTGTGCTTAACAACACTGTGTTCTTATATGGGACCGTGGATGAATTAAGTTGGTGCACAGCACTGGTTATCTCAGCCAGAGTAAATGTCAGCAGAACTATTTAATTAAAAATCATACGCCTGTTGTATTTGGCTGAATCAACACGAATCCGATGTGTGCATTAATGCCCTAATGATCTTGATGTAACTGCCGAGAGAAGAATGAAATGTCCTTATATAACTAAAGAGGAAAAGTTCCTGGTTGACCCCATGACCACCAAAGTGCTTCATCCATTGATAACACTGAAATCAGCTGCAGGTAAAACATGGAGGTGTGGTACCTGGGAGAAAAGCTTTCCGTCATGGTGAGCACACACAACATGTGACAACCACCCTTTGATCTGTCCCAGCCTTATGGATATTAGGGGAAATGTCTTCAGGGCAAGTACGTTGGAAATGTCGAACATGGCGATTAGATAAGGATGCTTAGTGAGAAACTTAATTTCCTGCTTAAAATGGTCATGACGACCTGCGATGTGATGAGTAACGATGGGCTGCTAGAGGTCAGGGAATGGGCCCCAGGGGAAGGTTTTTTTTTCCAATATCTTCAAGGATGTAAAAGTGAGGGAATTTCCCAGCTAATCTGAGTAATTTACAGGAGCTGGGATTTTATCTGGAAATGATCCTTGGGGTTATTCTTCATTGACCTGGTGAGACTGGTGAATTTGAACCCATAACTCAGAGAAGTGTTAAAGGCAACATGGAGATTCTTGTTCTGGCCCAGGTCTGGCTGCCTCTCTATACCCACAGGCAATTAAGGACATGTTTTATCCTTATCAGTGACAATCTACTTTTATAGTCTTTATGACAGCAATTTGCTAAGAAGACACAAGAATTTACAGAGATGTCTCCCTGCAGCACCTGCAATATGTCTCAGTGCCCACATTGCAGTTTAACTTCAAGAGAAAGCTGGGTGATGCCCAGCTCCCAGTGAAAGCAGTGGGTGTGATGCCAGGCTTAGACACAAGTGACATAAATGTCCATGTGCTGTTGACTCCATTGGCTGGATAGGGAGCTGGGATCAGGCAGCCCTGGAGATCTGCTCTACTCTCTGTGGTTTTAAGATGGGTAGAAGGCACAACTCATTTTAGTCACACCAGAAAGTGGTTCAATATGACTCATGCTCTACCTGAAGTCATCGTCCCACTGCTCATTGCTGTGGGCGCCTGTAAATGTGCTGTTCTTCCACAGGCAAACCTACCCACCAGTGGAATAGACACAAATTTGCATTTTCCACCTAAGAAACCTGTGTGGTCCTAGAGCCAAGCCACTGTAGGGTACAGTGCTCCTCCAACCGTAACATGTATACATCCCCTGTTACATCAATGGCCAAGGGAGTACCTTCCTCTACTTTTTTTTTCCTGAAACCATCAGAAGAACAGGCAGGAGAGCCTAGGAGAGCAAGGTCCTTTTTTCAGTCCAATGTGTTAAGTTCCACTTAGGAGGAATGATGGCTCCTGACCTGAAATCCCTTGGCACAGGCTGTGACAAGTTCCCAGCGGTCTCTTGGTAACAGTGACAGAGAGTGGCTTGGAACTGACTTGCAGCACTTCTATAATTGGAGACACACCTCTGCAGCTATAAATGTAATTGCATCTCAAGAGATTATTGAGATCAGAGAAAGAAGGCCATCAGCTGATTTGTGCCCATGCTGAACCCTCAAGTAGACTGGTAGCCCAGTCTATTAAGGCATTAGACACGGCTGCTGTCCAGAAACAGGGCTCTTCTGCAGTCTACACTTTGCTGACATTTTCATACTCCCAGTTAGGTCCTTTAACCACCATCCACAGTGTGGGATCCCACTTTTGGTAACAGTTTCTCTGAACTCAGCCTGTCAACTCCTGCTCTGCACTGAAACTCAAAGTGGCCCACATTTCAGTGACAACATCTCCCTTTGTCCCCCTGTGGTGGTTTCACTGCAGAAGAGGAGCAGGGGGAGAGAAGGTTTTTTGGGAAGCCCTGCAAGGTGGGTATGGGTTGACCAAGGCTCCTTGGTAGGCTCCAAGGTCTTCAGCGCCATCTACTGCCATGCCAAGTCTTGGCTCCCTTGTCATCTCTCCAGGAATGGGTTTAGAGGACACATTCAGGCTCACAGGATGGGGATAAATAGTAACTACATCTATTGCACTACTGTTCCGATGGACTGAGTACAAATTTAAAATAATGCTAGTGTCTGGAGACAAAAACCCAGTGCTATTTCCCTTAAAAATCCATACATTTCAGAGCAGAGGAACACTTACTTCTAATAGCTGAGGTACCGGTCCATACAGGTTGCGGGTAGGACATATCCTCTTAGAATTGCTGGAACTCCTGAGATAGTTTCTCCGCTCCTGGGACAGATAGTTCTGAGACACAGACCCGTAGGGAGGAAGAGAGACTTTCTTTGCATTGCCAGAGTTGAACGTCATACAATTCAAACCATTGGCTATTCTCACCCAAAATCATATCCCCTTGAGGTACACTTCCCCATCCTTCTGCATTATTCACCAAATGCATCCAGGCCCTTAAGCAAAAGCAAACCCATGGATGGGTTTGCCTTTGCCCAACACAGGAATAACCCAGACTGTCTTCGCAGCATATTTTTTATGTGCACTACAGGGACTTCATCCCCCTCTACAAAGGGCAAGAAAAAGCAAATACTTGAGGACTGTTATCTGGCAATGAACAACAACCAGGCAAAGTATAATAGCTGGGAGCTACGGTGCTGTTCTTTCTGATGTGCTTCTGGCTGTAGCTTCTCTGCTGTCAGCATAATATTACAAAGTGAAGGTTGAATAGACCATTCAGTGAAGGTCAGAGGGAAACAGAGATAGAGTGGTTATCACTTTGGGTTCATTGACTCGTCTGCAATCAAATACAAAACATCCCTCACATTAAACAGCAAAGAAATGTTAGATGAACATGTGATAGAACAGGTGTGGCTGAAGCAATGTATCTGTCCGTATGTCATGTTCTAATCTCCATCAGCTTGAAGCAAATCAGATTAAATCAGTGAAGTTACATTGAATTTACAGCACGTGTATTAAGCACAGAACTTGGTTCTCACTGCTCTTACCAAGTAGAAGAACACAGATGTTCAACAGCTCTACCAAGCCGATGAAAGATCTAATTTATGGAGCAAGACAGCAAGTCAGCATCCATATGAGAAAAGCCTTGACAATCAGCTGCAAATCCATCTCTTTGGCCATTAGGGAACTGGTGTAATTTCAAGGCATTTTGTGGGGTGTGTTCCTCCCCTGCAGTCTTAGGTGGTAGCAGTGGTTCAAAATGCACATGCTCCTCTCTACCTGTCCCAAAGCCTGGTTATTAGTTTTATAAAGTGAAGATCCAAAATTGAGTCTGTTCAACTTTGCTTCTTCTGTAGAAGAAGCCAAAGGCCATGCAGAAACTTCAGCATCTTCCAGTCCTCAGCAGCCCATGGTCTAGGCAATGGGGAAGTTGAACCACAACAAGTAAGCATTTCACGTCATCTGTAAAGCTATCATAGAGCATTCTAAGGGTTTCAACATAATGGAAATGAACAGGACTTGGGTATCTTCTGTATGGCCTCTGGTGTCAGCAAAGGTATCTGGGGCTCCAGAAAACCCATCAATCATCTTTTAGAATAATTTGCTCTTATTTCTGGTGTACAAAACCTTCCATGTGCACAAATGACTGACTCAGCTCAGCAACAGTTTTTACTCCTGCATTTGCCAATGGCCAAGAAGATAATGTACACTTGTTTGCATTTAATTCTTCTGGTTAGTGAAATCATTATTATGAACTGGGGTCAGTGTGAGCTAATAAGAGGGGGCTGTGGGATGGCTCCAAGTCACAATTTTGACAAAATGTGCATATTCAACTTTAAATACCTCTCCTGTGATCCTTGAACAAGGCCAGGATTCCTACAGGTGGCCTGGACTTTGTCCAACATCTCAGTTGAGGGATTTAGAACCATAGAATCATAGAACTGACCATTTGGGAACCAGTCTCAGCATGCGCTTACACCAAACACTTTGACTTCCCCAAGATAGATTCATAGTATCATAGAATTGTCTAGGTTGGAAGGGATCCTTAAGATCATCTAGTCCAACACTCAACCTAACTCTGATTAAAAACAAAAACCCCAAAACAAAACCATACAAAAGGACCCCTCATGTTACTAAACTATGTCTCTAAGAACTACACCAACCTGTCATAGTAGATCTGATATCTTCTGACAGTCATATCTTCTGGGACCTGGAAAATAGAAGGAAGCAGCTTTTGAGGAACTTGTAACCCAGAAGCAGGGGAGATTTTGGAAGAGAAACTGAAAATTGGAGATTAACAACAGTGTGTTCAGTCATCTCAGAGTGCTTGTGGTCTGGGAGTTAAATATAACCTCATGACCTCTTGCATGCTCTTCTGGTGAGGATTTGATCAGCCCAGTTCGGCATTGTTATAAGGAAAGCAATAGATATTAGAAACAATTGGGAGGTTCCCATTAACGAAAGTTCAGAACCTGGCCTAGCATAATTGCAACCTAAATGCTTCTGCTAAGCTCCAGCTGGTGTTGATTCATCACCAGCCTTCTGCTGCAGATGGTTGGGTAAATTAGGAGTCCTCTGTATAGCAACCTGCATGCTTTTTCCAAGAAAAACAAACAAAAAAACCTCAGTGTGTTTTCTGCAGGAATGAAATTCCAGTTGAAACACTGGCTTTTTCCGTCTCCACTGAAAAGCAGTCCCATTGACCAGTTCTACAAAGGGCATGAATAATAAGGATGTCTCTCAACCAGAGGTAACCTCCTGAAAAACTATGATTTTCACCAAATTCTTAGCAGCATCTCTTCTTGCTAACATGCTTGCGTTGCTCCTCCTGGCACGCTGAATGGCAGAATAAGGGTATGTTTGTGCAAACACACCCAAATTCCTAGTGGGCATCACCCAGGTCTCCAGCTGGAAAATTTGACATGCAAAATGTGACCTTGATTACCTTGCTGAATGCTCCAGGGATGACGTGTTACAATCAGCCTTCCTGGGACAGCTTGTAGGCATGTGATAAGACTAACACGTGTTCTCACCTACCTTTGATATCCCGGTGTTGCTAAAGGCTACGTCTCCCTTTGGCAGTCCTGCACCCTAGCATGCAGAAAGCTGAGTTTCAGGAGTTCATGGTGACCTTACAAAGTCTCCCTGATCCTGGGTATACCTATGACTGAAAAGAACAGGCCTGGGGTTGAAAGATTTGACTTTCCAGCGCTGCAATTTACACAGATGCAAAATGGTGATAAGGGAGTTCTTGGAGATCTTCTCAAACTGCGTCATGCCTTGCTTATGTAGGAGTTAATTATTCTAATTATTATGCCCTTTTTACTACCGGTGATTTAGCACAAAGGAATCTACCTGAGGTGATGGGACAAGAAACTTCTTATAGTGCTCAGTCAGCAGGATTTGGAGAGGAGACATCTGAGCTCTGTTCCTGACTCTGTGACCGTGACTCCTCCAAGACCTTGGCCAGGACACTTCAACATCTCTGTGGCTCACATTACCCATATGTAAAACAGAGAGAATAATACTGAGCACTCTGCAGAAAGGATGAATTCCTCACTGCCTGTTACAGAAGACTTAAGTGCCAGGGAATGCAAAAATGCTTATCATTTTCTTCCTTGTGGCTTCAATTTGTGGTCTCAGCATCCATGCTGAGCTCTGGAGGGGCCTGTGATAGCAAGTTAGTATTTGACTTAGGACAACCAACATGAACAAAGGGATCTCTGGCAGAAAATGCTCCAAAATCAGGGGGAAAAAAAAGAAAAAGCTTTGACTCTGCCCTCTTCTAAACACACAGTAATGGAGATTTTTAAAACTCCACATATTGATTGGCTGGACAACTGGCTCTTTCTTCATGAGTAATCGTGGCAATCAAGTTCAGCTGTTGTGGTCTCCTGGTCTGAGCTAAGAGTGTCTGTCATGTTGACTCTACCCGTGGGTGGTTTCCACAGGGCATTTTTCTGCTTAAAATTTGCTTCTCTTTTACTCTAACACAGCTTGAATTAGTCAGACTGCATCTTCTGACCACCTTCCCAGAGACATGGCAATTTTCAGACTTACAGAGATAAGTATTTGCAAGCAATGGGTTAAAACCAGCTAAAATATCCCCTGAGAATGGGTTAAAACCAGCTAAAATATCCCCTGTGGGACAAAAGGGACACATTTAATCCACTCTCATGCACCACAGATTCATGTCTTACACCTGCCCTTCATCCTTTGCCTCCAGTAGTGTTTTAGCAATTTTTTTTTTTATTCCCTTGTAATTTTCTTTTTCTTTTCCTCAGGTTCTTGGCCGTTCTGGGTCGATGTGTGGAAGAACTGTAAAAGTAACAAGAGAGCCTGAAGGACATGATTTTGACTCAGTTTGCTGTGTGTCTTTCACCCTGGCTTCAACGATGAGCTGAGACAGAATTGCCTTTTCAGTCCCACTTACAACGGGTCCTACAAAGATGCAGCCATTTGCAGCTCTGTGAGGCATCACACAAAAATCATGGGGAATAAAGTTGAGTCACATGCACCGTACAAAGTCATTCAATACAGAGAGTTTCCATTTTTCTCATCACTTGCTGATGTTTAGAGTATGCTAACGTGATGACACTTGAAAAAACAGTGAATAAAAAGAATCCAGGGGGAGGTGTGATGTTTAACTTGGCCAGATCCTCCCAGGATTTCTGAAACACATTAAGATCCTTGGATGAAAGACAGATTGTAAGGGCAGGAATATTTACTATCAGTTTAAATTCCACTTTCCAGACACATGAAGTAGCAAGATCCCAAGGTGAGGGCAAAAGAGAGCTACACGCCACATAGAGTTGTGGAATTTGATCCTTGCTACAAGGGTGAGCTGTTAATTAGAGGGAGGAGACTTTGTACTGCCTCTGACAGCATTTCCAGTCACAAGTTGCTTGCAATAATTGAAAACGGAGTTTTAAAGCAAGCAGAAGTCAGCCTGGAACAGAAGACCTGAGATTTAATTTCAAGAGGTTCTCAAAGATACAAGGCAGAATAATACCATTCTCTGTTATAAGCAAACGAATCTCGGCATGGGGTTGAGTGACCTGGATTGAGGCAGCTGCTGGAATATTGGAAATTTTTATTCTCACTTTTCAGGCGTTAATAGCAAAATCAAAGGTTATTTTCCGTGTGTGGTTCCTTTTTTTTTTTTTTAAATTATTTTTCCTTGGAAAATTATTTTTCAAATCAAAGGTTATTTTCCGTGTGTGGTCCCTTTTTTTTTTTTTTAAATTATTTTTCCTTCCACACTGGAAATTTAAAGAAATAAAACCAGAAGTAAAACTGCATTTGACATATGAGAAGCCAAACGTACTCAGTCCTGACTCATGGTCATGGAGCAAGGGTTCAGTCTGGGCTGTGAGTGAGAGCTCATTGCTCAGGCTCGAAGACTACTGGAGTTCTGATTTAGGGATACCCTTAGCCATGAAGCGCTCCAATCCCACACTGCATTTTCCTCTGGCTGCAGCATTAACTAATAAAAGAGAAAAAAAGCTACTTTATTTTGGCAAGGAGCACCACAGGGTCCTTCCCAGCAGGAGCAGAAGTGTTGCAAAATTCACCGGTGCAGCATTTCCACGTGGGTATTCACCTGTTAAGTCAGGCCCAGGGCAGCCAGGTGCTGCTCACTGCTCCCAACCAGTTCTGCACAGTGAGCACTGTGGAGAGGACTGGGAGAGGTGGTGTAAGGGGTTATTGCAAAATTCCATGCCTTGTGGTAAAACCATGAGTGTGATGTCCCCAGGAGAAACAGAAAGAGGAAAGGCAGACCCTGCTGACAGTATGTTGTTCTCGAACCCTTGATCTCAGGACTCATCAGGCTCATTGACTAGAAATGCTTAATCTTCAGTGGGAATGGTGATATGAAATGAAATTGCCCTTTACTTCTGGCTCTTCCCCTTGAGACAAGACCCTACAGGTGAAAATCACGCTGGTTGGTCTCACGCACCTCTGTGGTAAATGTGCTGTCAACTTGAGCTGAAAAGTGTCAAGTTCCAAAGTCCAAAGCTCTTTTCTCTTCCACAATGTCCTCCATCAGTGCTCTGGAGTTGGTCCAACTCCTGATGCTTTTTGAAATCTCCTGGGGTGAAAGTTCAAGATGTCAGGAAGAGACAGCTCCTCCCCTGGAGATAACCAACACGTGGAAGGATGATACCTCTACCTGGACCTTGTGCACAAGAAATCCTCTGTGAACCTCTGAGAGATAAAACCCTGGTGTGACTGTACTGGAACAGCAGAATGCTAATCCCACGGGCCTGCTATTCCCTGGGGCACAGCAGAGCACAGGAAGGGGACTTTCCCTTTCCAATAGCTCCCTCCATCTTGGTAAGAACAGCATTGCAAACAGAGCAGATCCTGCCCTTGTGAAACCATTCAATTCCCTCTTCCCTGAGACCTCCACAGGAGCCCCACCAGATATGCCCATTGCTGGATGAAGTCCACGTTCACGGATTCACAGATTTGACAGAGTTGGAAGGGACCTCTAGAGATCATCTAGGCCAACTCCCCTGCTAAGCAGGATTGCCCAGAGCACATCACTCAGGACGGCATCCAGGCGGGTCTTGAATATCTCCAGAGAGGGGGACTCCACACCCTCCCTGGGCAGCCTGTTCCAGGGCTCTGGCACCCTCACCCTAAAGAAGTTCTTCCTCATATTTGAGTGGAACTTCCTGTGTTCCAGCTTGTGCCCATTGCCCCTCATCCTATTGCTGGAAACCACTGAAAAGAGTCCAGCTCCATCATCGTTCAACCCGCCCTTTAGATACTTGTCAGCATTAATAAGGTCTCCCCTCAGCCTTCTCTTCTCCAGGCTAGAGAGACCCAGCTCTCTCAGCCTTTCCCCATAAGGGAGATGCTCCAATTCCTCCATCATCTTTGTTGCCCTATGTTGGACTCTCCCCAGTAGTTCCCTGTCTCTCTTGAGCTGGGGAGCCCAGCACTGGACACAGTATTCCAGTTGTGGCCTCACCAGTGCAGAGCAGAGGGGGAGAATGACCTCCCTTGACCTGCTGACCACACTTTTCCCTGTGCTGCCCAGGATTCCATTGGCCCACTTGACGACAAGGGCACATTGCTGGCTCATGGAGATCCTGCCATCCACCAGGACTCCCAGATCCTTCTCCTCAGTAGTGCTTCCCAGAAGATCCACTCCTAACCTATATTGGTGCCTGGGGTCTTTTCTGAGGAGCAGCAAACCTGTCATCTAGAGCAATTCAGTTTGAGTGGGAAACCTCTTCAAGGATCAATCATGCTGGATCACCAGGACTTCAAGCCTTGCAAGGTAGGAGGAAGACTGGAGAAGGTAAGACATGCATCCAGTGTGGGTTCTGCAGCCTTAAGTTATTTCTACATGGCTGCCTTAGGCTATCCAAAGGCTATAGGTTATTTTGCATAAGAAAAGGAGACAACATACTGTGAATCAGTCCACAAGCCTTCCCTTTGTGGTTAGTATCATCCAAATTGCAAGGCTGGACTCTTTTTGGCTGACATTTAGTCCATTGTGTCATGTAAATTGCCTTGGGACCATGTTGCCACTATGCAGCTGACAAAGCCAACAGGGTGCAAGACAAATGACAAGACTAATTTCTCATGTAATTGTGTGCCGTGTCCATCCAAAAGGAGAGGGAGACAGTAACATTACCTGCTGCAGTTCCAGCCTTAATGAGGCCTGAGAGGAGAAGTCGATAATTAGGTTCGTGATTCATGCGTTGGGTGCAAGTTTCTGTTCGACTACTCTGCCAATTAGTGCACACTTCCTGATCAATAGCAGGGTAATTATGAGATTAGGGTTAATGGGTCAGACTCGTTGAAGGCTTCTGGCTAATGTCAGATTAGCTAAATCCTGCTGTCATTAGTTTTACCTTTCCGGGTTGCTGGCTATAAAGGAACAAGGAGCATATATTGGTTGTAATTACCTCTGTTTGGCGCAAGAAAGCTCCTACAGTGAGATTTTTAGATGTGAGATGGGTGCCTAAGTACCCATCAGCCAAGATCTAACCAATAGAGCCAATGGTGTCTATAGAGAGCTTCATTCTGCCCTGAAGGGAACAGCTGGGGTGGGATTCATTTGCCTAAACACAGCTGCCAAGTTCAAGGGTTGCCTTTGACTTTCCAAATATTCCACAGGGAGAACCATTCCCCCTG